ATCGGGCTTCTCTATTATTTTCAGTGAAATGGATAACATTCTGTATCTTGCAACCGTGTATAACAGTGGGGTGCAGGAGAAAATCCCGCGGCCCGAAAATCCCGTGAGGCCGAAAAATCTCGCGGTGTTCGAAAATCCCGTAGGTACAAAAATCCCGTTTTCGCTTTACTCTGTCAAGCGAGGGGTATTTTCGTTCAAAACACCGAATTCATTCCCCACAATCTATTACGGGATATGCGAAGTGATGATGACCTGCACGGAATTCTACCGCGTATGGTATTGCTTATATTCTTCGTAAGTTCGTTGCTGTGAAGGGTGTTCAATTGGTGCAGCGTTGCAGATCATCTTGATTATCGCTTTTAAAATTTCCTTGAAAACGCTGGAAATTGTCATTTATGAAACGATGGAACTTTGGATTTGTCCGAAATATGACCGCGGACTTGGAGAATGGATAAGGGTGGCGCCGGAAAGGATTAAAAGGAATTAGAAGTATTAATCCTTCCACACGCCGTTTTCCCTAGATTCTGTTTGTGTGATCTTCCAAGCGCCTCTCAAATAGCAAGATCGACAGGTTACGACTTCAGTCCTCAAAGGAATGAATGCCTGGAAAAATATTCGAACTGTAGGAATAAAGGATAAAGCCTGGAGTTATCCCTTATGCGGACAGTTAATCCGTCCTGTCTGCAAAACTTTCCTGGGAATGCAGAGTTACAACAGAATTGATGGAAGACCTTTTTCATTGTGTGAGGGATGAACAATTTCTCTTCTCTTTTTTTCGCAGGTGGTGGGGCCTTCGCTCATTATTTCAAACTTCGATTTATTTCTCGTTCTTCCGTGAAATCGACGTTTTTTCTGGCAATCGCACATACAGTCTTTCTTTTGTTTGCTATGTCATATTGTTGACATCGAATACTGTATCCGCAACCGTAATCTTGCATATATGCTTCCTAGAGTACCGTTTTCCCCCTGTAGAGATTGAAGGAAATGTTGGAAGGAAAAAAATTGCATGATGTCTGCTGGATAAGAATTAGTTTAATTAGGTTGACAAGGCATATATACTGTATATGACCCTTCAGAGATACGGTCACCTTTTGGAAGAGGGGCAATGAGATTCAGCAGTGTGCTGAGGTTCTGCATGCCAAATGGGATATGTTAGGGAATAACTTACCTTAAAATAAATCTGAAGTTTTTGCTTGTGGATCAAAAGTTGGAAAAATAAAGTAAATTTCAGATTAATAAATGAAAGACAGAATCAGCCTGGGACTAGGCTGGGAATCCTCACGGATTTCCTATTTAAAAATTGGGTTTTAATGTATTTTGAAGTAGTCCCCACAACTATTTCAACACACAAGACAATTTTCGGTAAAAACAAAAACTCAACAGAACTCTTCCACTAATTCGATTTTGCTGCATGTGAACACTCCAGAAGTACAATTGCAAATGTGGCTGAAATCTATTCTTCGGTGACGCGAGAGGAAAACGGAAATTCGTTTCTGGCTTTCATTGTTCTCTGGGGTTGCATGGTTTTCCTTGAAAAGTGGTGATTCTTGGTGAGGTGGCTGTCATTGAGAAGTGGTTCTGTTATCTGATGCTAGGTTTTTGTAGTTTTTTATAATTTAATTTTAATATTGTTTTGTAGTATGTGGTTCCCCAACAGTATGGGAGGAGGAGGATTCACGAATAAAAAAGCAGTTCGTGCTCAGGCCTAGTCATGCAGTATTCTTCTTTCATTTAGTTGTTCGCAGCTGTATAGGGAGCAAAAAATAAATGAATTCGACATTTCTTATTGATTAAACGGAATCGGGAATTTTGTGAACGTCTTGGACAATTTGGTCAACGACCGTTCCTTTGGGCGCAGAAAATTTAAGTTTCGGATGATACTTGGATGGCTCCGCAGAAATATAGGCCGCTTAAGAAATGGGACCCGGTGACAAGTAGCAAAGGGTTCCGCGGCAAAAAGTCAATTCTTTCTTCGTAATCTACAATATTATTGAACAGTTCAGTATATTGATCAGGAAATTACTGGCTGAACGGAAGTTGTCGAACCTCTCCCTTTCATATATCCAATAGTGATTTGGTGGCATTTTTTGTGGGTTGCCATAAGTATTGAAATTCCAGTGAAGGACCAAACAAAAAAGCCTGTGTCTATAACAGGTCCTTGTGGAGCCGTATAACGATTTTCTTCTTAGTCAGTTTTGCTGCTCGTCGCATGCTAGAACCGCACCATCCATATTACCTTGATATTGGTAGCGATCCAATGCATGAATTGGAAGTTACCATATTTTCGAATTCCACCTCAGTATAGTTGGGACCCAAAATTCGAGGGAATCAACTTGAGCAGAGGGAAGAAATGAAGAGTATTTGTCGACAATCATAGAATCGTTTTCCAACTGCAGGAAAATGGCAATATAGAGCCTTTATTGCCCTGAAGTTTGGTTGCAACCGGACTCCTCAGTGTGCTGTTCAAAGCAAAAAGGCCGCCTCTGTGTTCTTTTTTCCAGCAACTGTCATGTGTCAACTGATGGACATTTTTTCTGAGTATTTTACCGGGGGCAACTGAATCCTGTTGACATGCGCGCGCCATAAAACTGCACAAGGTCTTGGTGTTTTCGCCGTTTATGTCCGAAACTGCGGATGTTTTCATTTACAGAGGTTTCCCAATTTAGGAGGGGTTTCTCAAAAGTCCTTTGACGAGTCGTTTGTGGATGAATGGCGAATTTGCGATGATTCCCAGGAATATAAATGCTATAGTATGCACTTTTTACTTCGAATTTCTGCATTTGAGAAGGCAAGAACTGCACGAAGTTTGGTGCATTTCGAGTTTGTAATGAAAGACTGATCATATAAGCTTCCGAAAACCTGAAATGCCTCGCATTCTTTGTGAAAGTCATCCACGGAATGAAAGTAACTGAACGGATTGGACAATGGAAGCGTATGAAATTGGCAAACTGCTTCTATGGTTTTTGAGGGTTGGGTATTTCACAGTACTCTCTGACTCCCAAATACTGTTGAAGTTGAAACCACCTCATTCAATTTTTAATATGAATTTCGTGCTGTAAGAGACTTCCGAATGTTTAAATGAACTTTTATCTCTTGAAAATTTTAAAAGATTTACTCAGCTTTGATTCGAATTTTTTCAATGGACTTTTCGGGAAATCTCGGTGCAAATGACGCCATCAGTTTCCATTCATGATCCGGACTTCGCCCCGATGGGTTTTGTGGAAAACGAAGATCACGCCCACTTGGAAATTCTCTAATCAATTGTTCTGCCATTCAAGAAGCAGTGGAACTAGTTACGTGAAGTACTGAGGTTCACTTAATAAAAGGAATAATTGATGAAAATTCATTAAAATATATTTGAAAAATTCAAATTTCATCAGCTTGAGCTGAAGGTGCATTAGTTAGAGTATTAGAAGTGCATATTACCGAAATAAATTTTCGAGTTCGCGAGAGAGAAATTAAACTGAATAAAAACGTTGAAAAATACTGTAAACACCGTAAACGATCAGACAATTTCGAAAGCTGCTCGTATAATCGCTTCCACATTGCGATTCGTTTCGGAATTTTCAAATATCGCTTCACATTTCATAATCCAACAGATTTCATTTGAAAACTCAAACTTGTGTCCTTGAAAAACGCCTCTCGAACGCTTTTGATGGTTCTCTTTCTCATCTAACTGAAATATC